TTGCCTAATAATTCTGCACTCCCTGTACATCATCTGTCTGTAGCACTGAGCATGAGTAACATGAATCTCGATTGAAGCTTGAGCTCCCCCGATACAACCTTCAGTGGTTTATTAATTCTTTATAATCCAAGCCGCTCTGCAAATGCTTTTTCAGCTTGCATCTTACATTCTGCCCCTGTGTGTTAGATGGTGTCTGGGGTAGCTGTGCACAATCTGCTACTTGAGTGCTGTTGGCTGCTAATAACAAGTGGACCGCTGCAACAATCAAGGACAAGGACTAAAAACTTTTTCTGTTATACGTTTCATGGGAAAAAACATCACTAAATAATTTCATTTCCCGGGCACAGGTGCCACCCACTCATTTAAATTCCTCAGGCATAAATTCAAGAGCCTGCAGGGGTAGAACTTAGCGCACAAAGAAACCATCGCACACACTGAGCGTTTGCGTTGCACACGCTGCTACAGTGTCACTCCCACAGGTAGCTCTTTGTGCTCGCAGTGAAATCCTGCTGGCTTGAGTCAAAAGCCTTTTTACTGGTTTCTTCAGCATAACCAGTGACAGGTGTCAGGGTTTCCACAGCTACACAGTAAACAATAACTGTTGATAATTAATTTGGCAAACTTTGTTTAACAAATTGTATTGAGCGGCACTGAATACTTGCGGTCGTGAAATGAAATTATCTGCTTGGATTATGTTTTCCTTGCACACGACTCGACAGAAAAATAATTTCATAATTGTATGTTACTATGCCAGTTCAGCCAGGTGCAGATTATATGCAAAGCATCTAGGAACGTGGATATATAATACATATCTTTAAAAGTGTCCAGTTTCTAGCCACAGAGCCAGCCTCCATGATCATTTTATGCTTGGTGTCACCAGCTCGGATGCTGCTCCTCCAGAAGACCATCGTGAGGTACACTGTGTTGGCCACAAATGGGTGATTAAAGATATCCAACATTTTAGGATTTAAGGACCACAGCTTTCCAAGAAAATAGAGCCTGCTCACCTCCGTCTTCTATAAAGCCTCTCTATTGGTCTTCCCATTCAGCCCGTTGTTGACCTGGTCACTGTAGTGCCTGTATACCACTATTACATCTACATCCTATTCCATAAGAGACACAGGTTATGTAGCTTTTCCCTTCTATTTTATGTGTAAGACCAGAGAGACCATCTCGCTGTCTTATATCTAGTCACATAGTCAGTCATCCATGATGGCTTACTGACACTTCCATCAGCATCAGTAACATCAGCTGGATGGTATTAAATTCACTTGAAATCAAAGGTCAGATCCAAGTAGATCCAAGACTAGTCTTCCAGTACCTTGACTACATGAGACGTCAATAGTTACTAAGCTCTGATGGTGTTGATTTAGTTAGTAAGGAAAGTAGACAGCATTTCATGCTCACTTGTCCTAAATAAGAAACTTCCAGATGTGTGTCAGTTAGCATCATAACTGACTTCTGATGAATCCATGTTCAGTACGTCCAGTGTCACTCAGGCTAAACATGATCTATATGTTTCTGTCCAGGTATGCTGACCATCACTGACTTCATTAACATACTACATCGATACTATAAGTCTCCTCTGGTGAGCTGAGTTTCTGAGTACTATAAATTTATTGTATATATTTAGCTGCTTTGTGTTTTAGCAGAAGAAAATGGATGGATGGATGCTTTTGTCAAATGCATTCACACTGTGCTTTCAAATCATGTTATAATACAAAAACCATACTGATTAAAAAAATAAGTAAAAATCCTCCATCATGTCGGATGTTGCCATAAACATTGGATCTGAAATGTTTGGTTTGTCTGCAGGTTCAGATATATGAGCTTGAGGATCACAAGATAGAGACATGGAGAGGTCTGTTCAACGATGCTGTCCGCAAGCATGAAAGAATAAGAATTTAGAACAGCTTTCCAAAAAAGTTGTGACATTCAACAGGATGTAAATAAAAACAGAATGCTGTGGTTTATAAATATTTTAAATATGTTTTTTAATGAATCAATCTTTTCTTATTGGCTTACTGTTTATCACTGCTTCCACAAACATTTAGAGGTCATCTATGCGTATTAGAGACATTATTGATTGATCCTCAACAGTACAGCTCATGGAGCAACATGCTCATGTTGCCATCCAGATGATGTCCCCTTTAGATGTTCTTGCTTATTTTAACAAGACAGTAACCTCATTACATAGTATTCCAACAGCATAGCACTGAAGTAGGAGTTTGGGTGCTCCTGCCTGGATGTAGACTGGATTGATAAGCTCACACACACACTCGAATATCCTCAAGAGGATTCCTGCTGGTCTAGTGTTCTGTGAACAGGACAAAACAGCATTGTTCCTCCTGGATCTGAAGTTTGACTAATGTATGAACTCTCCTTTCAAACGCCCTGACATAGACCTTACAGGGATGGCATCCGTGACAGCGGCGGTGGTGGCCAGGGAATTTTTGTTGATTTCGCGTTTCATTCCCCCCCCCAGTTCGTTTTGGAGCTTTGGTCTGCCATGGCTGACAGCCTGGGGGTCAAGGTCCACCAAACCACAGCATACCACCCGCAAACCAACGGGATGTGCGAGCAGCTTCACGAGTCACTCAAGGCCGCTCTCTGGGGTTCTCTTACAGGTTTGCGCTGCGCGGTTAGGGAAGACCTCTGGGATTCTCCAGCTGAACTGGTCCTCGGCCAGCCGCTCCGGGATCCTGGGGAATTCCTGCCTGCGTGCCCCCCCCCCCCCCCTTCGTGTTTCAATACCTCTATGCTGTCTCTCCGTCCCACCAGAGACTCGTTTTCCATTCCTGGTGCACCACTGCCTGCCCGACCCTATTGTTCTGTTTGACGGCCCGTTCAGGGTTATTCGACCAGGCCGAAAGCCTTTCCTTTTTGGACTTTGGAAGTCGGCAGGAGGTTGTTCCTATTGATAGACTTAAGCCTGCACATGCCCTGCATGATCAAGTGGTGCCGGCCCAGGCCCTCTTCCGCAGCTGTCCGCCTACCACCGGGCTGACAGACTTTGGTTTTTCCTGTAGGAGTGCCCCCCACCCGGCACAGCTTGAGCTGTCTGCAGCTTTTCCTGACCACCAGTGCCAGCCTTGTCCACAGGCATCCTTAAAACAAAAGAACTCATAATGCACTTCAGGGGGCACAGACAGGTCCACTCTCTTCTCATTATAAATGGAGAATGGGTGGAATCAGTCTCCACATTCAGGTTTCTGGGCGTCTCTGCCCTTTTAAAGAAGGCTCACCAATGGCTGTACTTCCTCTGTGTCCTGAGGAAGAATAACCTGGACTGGAAGCTGGTGCTGGCCTTCTACCGCTCCTCAGTGGAGAGCGTGCTCTCCTACTGCCTGGGTGTTCAGCACATGGGGGCCACTACTGAGAACAGGAAGGCTGCACAGAGGGTAATTAAAACAGCGCAGAAAATCACTGGCTGAACTCTGCCACTCGTAGGCCATCGACAGATCATCCTGTCTCAGAAAAACCACGGCCATCACAGGTGATCCCTTTCATCCGGCCCACCACCTGTTTGATGCACTGCCCTCTGTTCTGCGCCTGTGGTCAGTCTCACAAACAGCCTTTTCCCCTCGGCCATTCTACTGTTAACAAGCACTGTCCCTCATAATGTTGCTGCTCCATGCACAGTGTTACAAACACTGTGCATGGAGCAGCCATAACTCCATTGTACATGTAGAATGACAATAAAGGGCTATTCTATTCTATTCTATTCTATTCTAAACCTGAAGGCTTTGCCTCCCGTTCTACTTTTAAATCCTAGGAACTACAAGTAAGCCTGCTGACTGCTGCCCAGTTTCTGAGTTGTTATATTTTAAGTTAAATATACAGTTCAAATAACTTGCTAATCACTACATTCTGTTTTTATTCACATTACTGACAGCATCCCAACATTTTTGGAAATGGGATTCTAATTCTTTTAAACCAACTATTCCCAAAACTTGCATTGTGGCCCACTGGTGGGATCTGAAGGTAGTGTGGAAGAGCAGTGAGACATTATTTACAATAATTAGTTGCATAAAAAAACTGACGCACAAGAAGCAAACACTTGATCTTCGGCGTGTGTAATGATCAGGTTCTGATCAAAGGTTTGGCTGCACCACAAATGATGTTCATAGGCTACAATGGTCTTTAGTTTGGGAATGGCTGTTTTTTAAACATTTAAATGAGCTTTAGGCTGTGTTTCCAAGTAGTTTGTGGTTTGTTTTTTTTTTTTCTGTTTGCAGAAATCTATCTCCAGTACTCATTTAACAGACTAATCAGCATTACACCAGAGTCCAGGTAAGGCCAGCCCTAAAATAGATTTTTTTAATTTAGTCATAATGTAGTCACACTTTATTATTTTAAAGGCTACAGTTCCTTTGCTTAAATTACACCAGATTTACAACTACAATTTCAAACAAAGTACAAAATATCAACATTTAGGGAATTTGGTATCTATTGACTTCCGACCAGTGTTCATTGCTGGAGCTAACTAATCTGAGCTGTGGTCTGCTTGTTAAAAGAGCTTAACTGGGCTGTTTGAAAGCCATATAAAATAATAAGCAGATGTAGGAAATTTACCATGGATAGCCTGTTTATTCTGAAATTCTTAAAACCCTAATCACAAATCGTGTTTGTCTTTTCAGTTTGTTTGATGCCATATACTCCCTGTTAAAGAATAAGATCCACCGCCTGCCAGTTATTGACCCAGCATCAGGAAACGTCCTCCACATCCTCACTCACAAACGCATACTCAAGTTTCTCCACATTTTTGTAAGGAGACACTTCTTGTGCAGCACACCGTTAACTTAATCCCATAATTTAATTGCAGTTAAAAGACCTGGCTCAAAGAAAAGAAATCTTTATTCTCCTGTATGTTGGTATTTGAAAGGCTTCTTTTCATTATCTTTTTTCCCAAATGAATTGTAATTTTGAGGGGCTACAGGTGCCCAGAAATACATCAGATATGGTTAAAAAAAATCATGGTAAATTACTCTGGACCACTGCTGTGCTTGATAATGTTTGTTTTTCTTGAACAGCATTGGTCTTGAGATGCAGTGATTTCTCATGGCACATAGTAGACAGAGGTAGAAACATGTAGCTCCTTTGTGTAACGTATGATACAAATCGCAGCCTGGATACATCTGCATGCCCTCTATATGCTCACAAAAAGGGCTGTCATCACTGTTTGAAGATGTCTACTTTAATGTCCATTTTAATTGATGCATTATATTTTTTCATGATATTGAGACTTTATATATTAAGAATAATAATAGTGAAATGCAAAATCTCAAAATCACAATATATTATCTTTTATTATGTCTTTTCCCTTAAGGGATCTATGATTCCCAGACCCAGGTTTCTTCAAAGGCAAATCCGTGAAGTGCCGATTGGTACCTTTAAACATATTGCAACAATCCAGGAATCGGCTTCCGTCTATGATGCTCTGAGCCTTTTTGTGGAGAGAAGAGTGTCAGCTCTGCCTGTGGTCAATGAACGAGGTAGTTTGATATCATGCTAACTGTTCCTATTGATAGACTTAAGCTGAAAACTGCATTCTTCCTCCTGTATCTGAGGTTCTACTAATGGACAGACTCCCCTTTCCAGCACCCTAACATAGACTTTCCCAGGGAGGCTATGGAGTGTGATCCTTCAATAGTTGGAACACACCCTCCAGTCTCCCTTCTTAAAAATGGGAACCACCACCCCAGTCTGCCAGTCCAGCGTTACCGCCCCTGATCTCCACTTCAGGAACTCAGGGCGAACCTCATCCACCCCAGGAGTTGTTTAACTGCCTCAATGACCTTGCTCCTGAAGATAGGTGAGTTGTCCCCCGCATCAGTATCAGACTCTGCTTCCTCCACGGAAAATGTGTCAGTGGGATTAAGGAGATCCTCAAAGTATTCCTTCCACCACCGGACAACTCCTCCCACACTTGAGTTTGAGCTTCAGCCACTGCCTGAGCCACGTTCCTCTTGGCCTGTTGGTACCTTTCAGCTGCCTTCAAAGTTCCACAGGCTAACCAAGCCAGAGAGGACTCCTCCTTCAGCCTGGTGGCTCCCTTCACCTCTGTGTCCACCATTTGGTTCAGGGGTTGTGGCCACCTTGTGGCTGCAGCTCAGTGCAGCCTCGGCAATGGAGGTCCTGAACACGGTGAATTCAGACTCAGTGAATTGACCATCTCCCTCAGAATGTTACTGAAGCTCTGTGGGAGGTATGCGTTGAAGATCTCATAGACTGGGGCCTCTGCCAGGCACTCCCAGCGCCAGGTCTGTCCAGCATCCTCCCCCACTACCTGA